AAGCCGCTTTGTCAACATGACAGTGTAGACAAAAAGGACAGAGTAGATGCAATAACGCCTTCTGTGGACAGAACTTTCCATCCCAAAGAGCACTCAAGAGTGCTCCCAGGAGCCTGCCAGGAACCTCAAAAGGCATGCACTAGTCTGGGCTGGGGCAGAGATCCTGGCCCTCCTCAAGGTGTGAGGTAAGGAAGAGAACCTCCAGGAGCTCCACTCCAGATGGTGCAATGCTGATATTTATGGCCAGATGGATGAAAGCCTAGTTACAAAGGGCCATACCTGGATCCAGGAGCAGGCCCAGAGTAAAGAAAAAGAGCTCCACCAGGCATACGCCAGTGGGAGGGAGCGCAGCTCACACTTGGGGGTAGGACCCCACTTCTGCCCTTCACCACATCCTGAGAGGCAGTGCGGCCCTTCCCCTTCCCCTTCCCCTTCCCCACCTCTGGTAATGGACTCAGGGCTGGAGACACCCGTTGTCACTCACCTGGGGGTCCCAGCCAAGGAGGAGGACACGGCCAGCACGGTGACCACCATCACCCTGGAGCCGGTACCCCACGGCCTGGATGTGTCTCAGGCATTTTCTGAGGCCAGGGAAGGATCATCAGGCGAATGGTCTTAGTTTGCTCACACACACAGGGTGGGGGTGGCAGGTGCTGAGGGGCTGAGGTGTGATCATCGCTCAGCTTTTTGGCCTGGGCATCGCGCTACAGTCTGTGCATGTGGAGGCATGTGCAGCGCTAGTCTGCGCCACACAGCCTCAAGAGGCAGCACCAGAGCACCCTGGGCTCCTACACACAGGCTCTGGGGAGGCCGGTCACACTTCTTACCCATGGGGGAAACGGGGGGATGCCCCCCCACACACACTCACTGGAGTGCTGCACACAGCACACCTGCATGCTTGAGGCAGCATGCACTCTGGGGGGAGGAGGGGACAGCATTGCCAGGCGCAGATGTGTCTGCTGCTCACACACACACCCTTGTCCCCTGTCACCCAGTGGCCAGGGATACAAGGTCTCTCCCCTTGGGATACCACCACTGCTGGAGCTGACGTGTGTATGGCACCGATGGAAGCCTAAGCAGCTCGAGGCCCCCATCCCCGCCATCAGATCCCATTGTGACCGGCAAATTTCCATGCCTGCTTGTCCATGTGATGTGGGGAGGCAGGAAGCCTGGTACCCTGGGCACATCTGGGCTTCTGTAAAACAGGGCCCGCTGTCCAGGTCACACATAGCCTTGCTCCCAGGACACCTTCTTCTGACCTGGGAACTGTTGGTCTCAGCTCACAGATGAAGGCAACGCCTCAGGGAGAGTGTCTCCAGGGTTGACTGACCCTCTGTCTTTATTGTCTCCAGCCAGACCAGCTATGACTTTGGGGCAGGCTATGCCACCTGAGCCAGCCGCCCGACCCCAGGGGAGCCGCAGGTGCCAGAGAGCCCAGGAGGACCTCATGAGGGAGCATGTCTCCATCCTCCAGGACATGCTGGAGACACTGGCCCAGAAAGTCCAGGATGACATGCAGTGGCAGACAGACATGTTGATGGGGTTGCTGCAGCAGGGACACATGTGCGTGACCGTCCAGGCTCTCCTGACCCACCTGGAGCCAGCTTCTGCTCCTTTTCCAGACTGTTACCGGTCCTGCTTCCGCTCCCATGCCTGACCCTGCTCCAGCTTCCCTCCCCCCGCTTATCCCCCTAGACTCCCTGGGTCCCCCCACCCCCAAGGTTGCTGAGGTCCCCGCACATGAGGCTGAGGAAGCACCTTAGCAATGTGCCACTCCCAGCCCCAGCCCTGAGCCTCTCTTCCCCCCCTCCAAGGTTCTCAGCCCCCACCTCTCCCCTCCTTGGTTCTAAGACCCCCTACCCTGTTGGGCCTGCCAGATGGCAGCTGTGCACAGATGCTCAAAGGCCCTTCCCTCCTGTCCGTCCTCTGTCCCCGACCCTGGAAGGAATGCCTCCTCCTTCCTCTCCACTATGTTGTGGAGCTCAAAATATGCAGACACCACCTGGGGGATGTTTTGCTCCCCCACATCCAGGCGAGTCAGGAGGCACCTGAACATTGCCTTCAGATGCCCGAAGGCGCACTCTGCCTACATGTGGGCCCTGCCCAGGTGGGTAATGAAGTGGTCCTTGCTCGGATCAAGGTGGCCAGTGTAGGGTTTCATTAGCCATGGCATGAGGGGGTAGGCCGCGTCCCCCACAATGCACAGTGGCATGTCCACATCCCCAACTCTGATGCTTTGCTCAGAGAGGAAAGTGCCAGCCTCCAGCTTGCAAAAGAGGCTGGAGTTTCTGAAGACATGGGTGTCATATGCCTTCCCCGACCAGCCAACGAAGACATCTGAGAACTGGCCTCAGTGGTCAAGCAGGGCCTGCAGGATCATATCCAGGCGAGTCAGGAGGCACCTGAACATTGCCTTCAGATGCCCGAAGGCGCACTCTGCCTACATGTGGGCCCTGCCCAGGTGGGTAATGAAGTGGTCCTTGCTCGGATCAAGGTGGCCAGTGTAGGGTTTCATTAGCCATGGCATGAGGGGGTAGGCCGCGTCCCCCACAATGCACAGTGGCATGTCCACATCCCCAACTCTGATGCTTTGCTCAGAGAGGAAAGTGCCAGCCTCCAGCTTGCAAAAGAGGCTGGAGTTTCTGAAGACATGGGTGTCATATGCCTTCCCCGACCAGCCAACGAAGACATCTGAGAACTGGCCTCAGTGGTCAAGCAGGGCCTGCAGGATCATTGAAAAGTATCCCTTTCGGTTGATGTATTGTGATACCTGGTGGTCGGGGGCCCGGATGGGGATGTGGGTGCTATGAATAACCCCTCCTTCCCGGCAGCCAGGGAAGCCCATAGTGGCAAAGCCAGTGACAATGGGGTCCACATCACCCAGTGGATGACCCCGCACAGCAGGACTGTGTTGATAGCCCTCACCACCTGCAGAAGGAGACAAAAAACAAACAAAACAGAGAATCAAAGGGGGTGCCAGAGCCCTTGGGAGGTCCCTGATCCCTCTCCCTCCTTCCCCCCTCCACAAACACCCCAGGAGCTGCCCCTATGAAGTCCCCTTTCCCCCCTCCCCCCCCCCGGGACTGTAGTCCAAGAGCACCATACCTGCATGACAAGGGCCCTGATGGTAGACTTCCTCATGCCAAACTGGTTCCCAACGGATTGGTAACTGTCCTGCATTGCGAGCTTCCAGAGAGTGATGGCGACCCTCTGGGGGGATGGGAGGGCCGCATCTGCGTGTCCCATTGTGTGAGGTCAGGGGTGAGCCAGTTACACAACTCCAGAAACGTCTCCTTCCTCATAAGGAAGCTCTGGAGCCACTGCTGGTCATCCCACCATTCCATGACGAGCCAGTCCCACCAATCAGAACTGGTATCCTGCCACCAGAACCAGCACTCCATGGTAGGGTGCATCTGAAAGAGTTGCAGTCCCAGACGCATGTTGAGGGTTTCCTCAAGCAGCTCGGGGTTGTGTTCCTGAAGGACCTGGAGAGCAGCCTGCAGAAACTGCAGCACAACAGCATCTTAAAGACTAACAAAATATGTAGATGGTATCATGAGTTTTTGTGGGCACAACCCACGTGTCATTGTGAGTTGTGGCCACGAAAGTTCGTGGTACCATCTACATGTTTTGTTAGTCTTTAAGGTGCTGCTCGACTATTCATTGTTTTTTTAAGTTTCTCCAGTTAACTAACTTGGCTACCCCTCTGAAGCTTTTGCAGCAAGACAGTCAGGGGCCATCACATGCCCAGAGGCAGCTCCGATTCCATAGTGGGTTGTGCTGTGGTGTCCAAAGGCAGGGCAACCAAAGCACACAATGGCAATGATTTGCTGTCCCTCAGAGAGATAGGCAAGCAAGCAGAATAACTTGAGAAACAGCTGTACAGGAGAGGTCCCTTTAAGCAGGCAACGCAAGCAGCAGCTCCAGGAAGTGACTGCTGACTTAATGCCTGCCTGAACTGGTTCTGGGTGACCTTAAATGTAAGATAGGGTCCAATCAGTGTTGTCTATTTCTAAATAGCAAATGGCTATTTTGTTGTGCTTTTTTGTGTGTAGACATGCAATTTCAAAATATGCTATTCCGGAAGATTTCTTCTGGGGAAGCTTATTCTGAAAGAAGATGCCATGTAGACATACCCTAACAGATTGATGTGGGCATAAACTTTTGTAGATCAAAACCACTTTGTCAAAAGTTTCCTGTGTCAAAACCACTTCCTGCATCTGACCAACTGGTTTTGAGCCTCAAATGCCCAATAAATCTGTTATTGAGTCTTTAAAGGACCCACAAAACTCTGTGTTGTAAAAACAAGGGAGCAATTTTAAAAAATCCAACATCGATTCGATTTAATCCTTGTAAATCATTATCAAGCTCTGTGTGAGAGTGACAAGAACTGCTTTTCCCTTTATCTTCCTCCCCGCCCTTATTGGGGGGGAGAGCGTGAAGAATGGATGGAAGACTGCCTCCACGTGATATTTAAAAGTTAGGGGGCGGCTCACTGTCGCTAATGCTCTCCTGGTTTGTGTGATTCTGTGGGCAGGTTCATGACAGAAAGGTGGAGGAAGGAATCATTGTATCATTTGATCCACGGGATCATGTTTTCCATGGTGTTTCCCTCAGCAGCATGGCGGAAGCTCACTGCCCCTTCCTGCAGCCTCCGGTTGGTGGAAATTCCCTCCCCAAAAACCAAATCCCAACCACGACAAACCTAGGGAAATGATGTAGCCAGATACTCCAAAAAAAAAATGTCTACCCCCCAACTTTTTAAAATTATGAACATAGAAAAAGAGGCTGGTCGTTGGTAGCCCTGGAGCAGTCAGGCTGGGCATCAGGGCTGGCAGCGTTCCCAAACCCGGTCATCAGTGCCGCGGATCCACTGTCACACGGATCCCTGTCCGTGCTGCAAGCCGGGCCGCTTGCCGGTGGATAGTGTTTGCACCGGCCAGCTGTGTGCGGATGCATCCGTCTACTGGTGCAATGCGCCCTAGGAGGCAAACTCCCCAGGGGCGGGCGGAACCCCTGTTCCCCCGCGTCTAACCCGCTCCGGGCTTAGGGGACGGCAACGTAGCAGGGCTGGAACCTCCCCGTTTCCACCGCTGCACGCTCCCCTCCCCCTTTCCCGCGCGGAGAGGAAGGGACCCGGGCTGCGATTCGCCCCGCTCCGAGATGGGTGGCGCCTGCTCCCGGGAATTTTCTGGCACAGCGGAGCGCGAGCGCTGCAGGAGGCGGGGAAGGGCGTTTAGCAGGGCCGCTGCCGGGAGCTGCTGCGTCTGCACCGGAGCGCGAGCGGCCGCGGGGAGCTGCCCGCGCGGTGAGTGGGGGCGCGGCTCTGCCGGTCCCGCGGGCGCTGCAGGGAGGCAGGGTTCCCAGCTCCTGAGTGTCCCGGGGCAGCTGGCGCGTCCGCCTTCGCTTGGGTTAGTCGGCTGGGCTGGCTGCAGGGCGGTGCCCGGGCCGGGAGAGAAGGCTGGGGCCCCGCGCTCCACTTCTAAGCGGGAGGTGGTCTCCGGAGCTTCCTGCCGGGCAGCGCTGGAGACTGGCGGGCAAAACACGCCTTGCGGTTAGCAGCTTGGCTGAGCTTTTGAAGGGGGAGGGGGGCGGAAGCTGGGTGATGGGAGGCTGGCAAGGGCCTCGAGAGGCGGCAGGCTTGCAGAAAAGCCTCCTCCCCCTCCCCCACTCAAGCTCTTTTCGCCCTTTCCCCTCTAAACTGCCCAAGGTTCCGAGAGGGACTTTGGATGGGGGGGTGGGAGTTTGTTGCAGAAGCGGGGAAGGGCTCAGGGAAGGGTTGTTAGCGGCTACCTGGGAAATGGTAAACCATTGCTTGTGGCTTAACCGCCCTACATAACCACAACAGCCTTCCCCCCACTCCTCCGTGCGCTTTGCATTTTAAACTCCAGCGGGCAGGCTGGCTCAGTCCCAGCCCGCTGGTCCAAGTTGTAAATGAAGAGCAAGAATGGGGAGCCACCTGCTTCTCTCCCCCACAAGGGCTGCTGCTGTATCAGAGGCAACATAGCAGGGCATCAGGAAGCAGACCAGTGGACTTTTTTCAAAAAAATTTCACCTGTATCTAGACTGCCACCGCATTCTTTCGAAATTAAATCGAAAGAATGCAGCAGGTTTTTTTTACAGTGGTAAACCTCATTTTATGAGGGAGATTGCCTTTTTTCAAAAGAGCTCTTTTGAAAAAAGGCGTTCTTGACCACAAACAGGGCTTTTTTGAAAGAGAGCATCCAAGTAGCCTGGGTGCTCTCTTTGAAAAAAAGCGGATCTCTTTTTCAAAAAAGTGTGGCTGTCTAAACTATCTTTCAAAAGAAGTTTTTTTTTGTTTTTGAAAGATTCTTTCAAAAACTTCTTTCGAAAGATAATCTGGACATATCCTGAGTGAGTGGTACTGTAACTGCTAGTGCTTTCCATCTGTCAGTGTAGACATGGCCTACCTGAAAACATTAATGTAGTAATCTGGGAGCACCAACTTGCTAAATTTTACTGAACTTTGCTCAGAGAATCAAGAATCCAAGTTCAGCAGACTTCCGATAACCCGGCACCTTTGGGACCCAGGGGAATGGCATGACATGGGGCGAACTGGGTGCTGGTGAGGGGCGATGTTGCAGGACCAACCTGGCAGCAGCTCAGCTTCCCCAAGTCTGCCGCTGCTGAAACTGACCAGCGGCGGACTTGGGGACGGGCAGGCAGAGCAGCTGGGGTCAGTTTCAGCAGTGCTGGACTTGGAGAAGCCCTGGGGCAGAGTAGCTGGGGTGCTGTCGGGTTGGTCCCGCAGTGCCGCTCAGGTGAGGGGTGGCGCTGCGGGACCAACCAGGTAGCACCCCAGCTGCTCTGCTCCGCACCACTTCCCCAGGTCCGCAGCTGGCCAGTTTCAGCAGCGGCAACAGCGGACTTGGGGAAGCGGTGCGGAGCAGCTCCAATTGTCCGGTTGTCTGGAGCACTTCTGGGTTCCAGTTGGTGCCGGACTATCGGGAGTGCCGGACCTCTGGATGCCGGACAATTGGAGTTTTACTGTAGTTGTATCAGGCATTATTTGTCTAGCCCTGTTGTCGCAGTGTATAATAAAGGACATGCTTTTTAGGTGTGTGTGTGGAGGTCTTGTAGGACCCTGGAAATCTTTGTATTCTGGGTTCACTGACATCATGGCCCAATTTCCCACAGGAACCTCTATCCACCTTCTGTTATTCATGCAGTCTTGAACTAAAAGGCAGTGGCAACACAAATGAGAAATATCCCAAGTTTAAAAACTTTTTAGTCTTAGTTCTAAAAATTAAACTCTGAGCTCCAGTACAATGAACCTTCAGCTGAGGAGTGGGAGGGTAAAATATTGATTCTTAAGCTTAGAATTGCACAGCAGGTTCATCATCTTGCTGAGAGTAGAATCATATTCCATATGTTTGTGGATGGTAAAATAAAGTTGTAAACCAACAAAATGTTAAACATATGTTTAACTGCATTGAGTACAGTGCATTAAGTTAAGACCACCTGAGACTATAGAGTCAGGGTGCATGTCAGGCACTAGAGTTTCTACTGCATGTTTGATTAACACACATGTAGCTCTTTTCATTTTGAGGAAGGGTTTTGTTTGATTTGTAAGGGGTACAAATAGTTTTCCACTACTGTAGCTCACCTGCAAAAAGCCAGGAGAGATGATAGTTATTGTCTTGTGGGCCATGGAAGTATCTAATTTTTTCTCAAGTGGTTTGGTGAATTTATAAAAATAGGTTGTTTTCTGAAGTCCTATATGCTAACAGCTCTGAAGTAGAGCAGACTTTATGCTTTAGCCTGGGTACTTTGAAAGAAGAAACAACATATTTAATGCAAAAATTTGTCTTCCGGTAATGTTTCTCTGTGGTTGATTTAAAAAAAGAGGGTGTGAGTTAGCAATTATTGGTCTGGCTATAATTCTCTTTTAGAATTGTCACACTATATCTAAGGCACACATTTATAAAAATACACACTAGCAAAAATGTAAATAGAGAATAAATATCAAATGCTTAATTAAGATGTCTTGCATAAATAAAATGGTATTAGAGTGCTAATCAGTTAAAAGTATGTGTGTATAAATGAAGTGATTAGGAATTTAGTGATTGCTTATCTGGCAGGTCCTACCAATTTCATAGCTGTGGAAAAATATATCCCAGACCATGAAATAAGTCCCTCACCAGGAAATCTGAACTCCCTTGTGCTGCCAGGAGTGTCCCAGACAGGGGTTTTTTAGCTGTGAGTCCTGGCCGGGCTGGGTAGGGTCAGGATTTGTAATTTCCCTGCACAGCCACTTCGGGAGGGAGGGGGGCGGCAGGAGGAGGGAGAGATCAGGCCCATCTCTAGGTACCCTGATGCACCAAGTTCCAGGGTTGGACAGCAGCCCTGGAGGTTCCTATGGCTAGGTGCACCCCAACCAAGGGTTCCTAGCTGCTAGTGCTGGCTGGGCTGGAGAGGGGCAGAACTGTCCTTCCCCTGCACAGTAGCTCTGCAGCCCCTCCCTTAAATTCGCTTCCTGTCCCCATAACTTCACAGCCGCAGGGGGAGGAGTCATTGAGTAGGGAACTGCCCCTCCTTATGCAGAAGTAATTATTAGCATGATTCATTTAAAATAAAAAAAGTGAGGAACTTGACAGAATTTTTTGATTGACACTTTAAAGAGATAAATCACACTCACAACTCAGTTCACTGATTGGTAAATAGATGTTGGGACGATGATGTTATGTATGATCTCAAAGGGCACTCTACCAGAAGTCAAGTGAAATTACAAATGTAAGATGAGTGTCCAAAGTAAATAAAAAACCTCCTAAAATCATTACTGCAGTGTATCGTGTGAAAGAATTTGGCTTCTCTATTCTATATGCCAATGATGACAAACTGTGTTTTATTTGATCATGTACATTGAGCAATGGTTCAGAGCCACTTAGACTTGAAAACCAATTGAAGCAGATAGAGGGCTGCAGGTAATGCATTGCTAGTAAACGAAAAGTTGAAAATACAATTTCACCTTTTTAAAGAAGATAACAGAGTCTGAGAACAGTAATTCAGCTAGAATGAAACTTGGTGGGTGCATTTGCAAGAGCTAATATACAGCTTGAAAATTTTTATCACCCAAAACTGCATGAGTTCATTGAATTAAATATACAAAATGTTGGTTGTTTACCAACTATGAATAAACTACAGTAGGATAGGTTTCACAGGTTTTGCTAGACATTTTTTATGGAGATGAAATCTCAAATTAACTCATATGAATCATTTGCAGTTATTTCAGATGAGTCCACAGATGAGCAAGACAGCTATGTAGTGCCTATTTGGTTCAATTTTATTTCTGACAATGCCAAAAATGTAGTTAGGGAAATTATCAACAGTGCTCACTAAATGCATTTTCTTGGATGCTGTTAACTACACAACATTTTCACAAGTGATAATTAAAGCCATTTAAAAATAGGGTGTGAACTGACAAAGTGTCTGCTTTTATAAATGAAAATTCAGCTTACATGACAAAATGTTTCAAATCTCTTCTCTGAGATATAATGACAAATGCTGTCTACATATACTTTGTCTGGTCAGTGAACTGTGTAGATTATGGGTTCCCAAACTGGGGGGCATGCCCCCCTGGGGGGGGTGTAAAGAAATTCCAGGGGGGATGCAAGGCAACCTCCCCTCCTCCCCCAATCAAGTTTTGCTGCCCTGGTCAGTTCTTTTTTTTTTTCTCAACAAGTTTTGCTGCTATTTTTTTGGAGGGGGGGTGGGGGCTGAGTGTTTCTCAGGAATCAAAAAGGGGGGGTGATGCCAAAAAGTTTGGGAACCACTGGTGTAGATGCAAGTTTGGGTAATGTTAATAAATTCAGCTACCTTAAAAGATCTTTGAAGCTAGGGCAGAGTTTAAACTTTGATTTAGGCAGTGTATTGCAAAACCAACTGAAATAACTAAAAAGAGAGAGAAAACATTACATTACACGGTAGCCACCAATTAGTCATTGAAATTCCTATATTTGGGCTGTACAGTACTCTATGCATGCAGAGAGATCTGTATTTAAACACAGACTGGTGTTTTCAGCATAGAGACAGGGCATGAAGAATGAGTCCATTGCTGGATGGTCCATACTGACATTGAATTGATCACATTAGAAACCAGAACATATTTTTTCACTTACTTTTGTTAACTTAAGGCAGTCGTTTCCAAGTTTGAGGCTACCAATTGAGATCAGTACTCCATAATATTGATTCAGATGCCCATATCTATCAATCAAGGAGTTGAGTTCTGAAAATTATTTTCTGCTGTAAAATGTCCATCAGTAAATCCTGTCAAGTTCACATGACCTTTATCATATTGAAACAGGTAATAATTGCATGAAGGGAGGGGGGGGAGGGACACACCGATGTTTTGCCCCCCCCCTGCCAAGTCAGGACTACCAACTAAGAGATCCTTCCTAGTGCAATCACAGCAGATTGAAGGAGATCAGACCAGTGTTCCCTCTAAGCTGGACAGCAGCACAGCTTCACAAGTGATTAATCAGCCCTGCCCAGTCAGAGGCTCAGGGCTCTATGCATGGAGCTGGCTGACTGGGTAGGACTGATACTACCTGTAAAGCTGTGCTGCCATGCAGCATAGAGGGAACACTGGATCGGACTCAACTCTGGGAACTTCCTGCCTCTGTAGGAAGCTCTGCAGCTGCAGCCTTCTGTGCCCATCTTTGAAGACAGCACAGAAGTGGGGATGACAATCCTACCATCCCCCTGCAACAGATGTGTGATTCCCACCTGCCCCATTTTGGGTCAGGATCCTGATAGTTACACTGAAATTTTACATTTAAACATCTGGAAAAAAATGAAAATTACCAACTTTCAAACCCTATGACAATGATATTGACTAGAATGGACTGTGAATTTTGGTAGGACCCTGCCTATTATTTCTAATAATTTCCACTGATGGATGTATTCACAGATAGGATCTATTTAGCAATATTTTTCCATTCTAAAATATTTGTAGTTTCATTGTTGCTGGTTTGTTCTAAATGGTAAATATTCATCATTAACAGGTATTTGAAAAATCTTCTCCAAGATGAATTTCTTCCTGGAAACACTCAGAGTCGTGGTGCTCTCAATATATTTCTTGTTGGAGTCTCTAGTCTTGTTGTTTGTTCCCGTACGAAAGAAAAATGTTGCTGGTGAAATAGTACTTATAACAGGAGCCGGAAGTGGAATTGGAAGACTTCTAGCATTAAAATTTGCCCGCCTTGGAGCCACTCTTGTTCTCTGGGATATTAATCAAGAAGGTAACAAGGAAACAAGCAGACTAGCTAAAGAAAATGGAGCTGTGAGAGTGCATGCATACTTGTGTGACTGCAGCAAAAGGCAAGAGATCTACAGAGTGGCAGATCAGGTGAAATATTATATGTTCCTTGTTTTTTTATGAACCCATAAAATATTATCCATGAATAAGTGACCTCTTACCTAGATGTCATTGAACAAAGTTAATAGGTCCAGAGTTCATATCACTCATTCCATATTAATCCAGTCCCGGGTGCAATATCCGTCTTCACGTACTTCAGAATCTAGCGTCAACTTGTCCAATTCCCTCTGCTTCTGCTAAAAGCAGTAGCAACACTTAGGCATTGTAGTAGATAACTTTATTAAAAAAGACAAAGTGGACGCTAATGCAATAGGTTATTGAACATAATAAGTCAAAATATTAAAGCAACTAATGCTCGAACAACTGCAAAGGATGAGCCTTAGAGGTAGCAGTATCTTGTAAAATGGCACAAATTTAGCATAACTTGTGAGATTTTAAAGGACTTCATGGGTATGTTTTGATCAAACACACCAAAGGCAGAAATATTACATTCCTTTATAAGAAACTGTTTGCCTCTGCTTAACATGCTGTTAAACCTACCTGCTGAGCTGAAAATTCTGAGTCTGCATCAGGCTAAATTTTTGGAAAATTTCAGCCAAAATAGTTCAGCTCTTTCTGGGAAGAAGGTTGGAGCAGAAAATACAATGTTTACCCGGTTAAAAATTTACAAAAGTTTATTTGAGAAACTCTATCATGGGGGTCTCAAACTCAGGCTTGGGAATCTTCCTAACATACTCAGCCATGAAGCCCAAAGCAAAGAATTTATTTAGTTTCTCCACAATGACCTTATCGTCTTTGAGTGCTCTTTTAGCATCTTGATCATCCAGTGGACCCACAGGTTGTTTAGCAGGCCTCCTGCTTCTCATGTACTTAAAAGCATTTTGCTATTACTTTTTTAGTTTTTGGCTAGCTGTTATTCAAACTCCTTTTTGGCTTTCTGATTATATTTTTACACTTATTTTGACAGAGTTTATGCTCCTTTCTATTTTCTATTTTAGTGCTAATAGGTATTCAGTTAACATAGGAAGCCTGTGTGGCAGTGCGTACACATGGGAAGATGGCTCCAGTTCCTGCTCTTCACAGCTTTCCCTAGACGTAACAGAGGTAAAACATCTTACGAGTTTTTGCAGCTGGAAATCCTCTAGGAGGCAGTGAAACTACGAAGATTTAGGTCTGCTTCAGCTTGAGGACAGCTATGAAGAAAGGCTTTTCTCTTGTGAACAACAGCACAAAGAATACCATACACCCTCTACTTTAGGATCCAGGAGGAAAAAACAGCTGTGGCAATATGGAGAATGAAACTCCAGGGCCTTTTATGATCTCATCTTTCTTGCTGAAATTACACAAAATGAAGGATGACTGTAAAGCAACTATAGCTTCAAACAACCCTCCCTCCGCCAGGAGAGCAGGGCCTACTTAGTAGGAAGTAGAATAGGGCCATCCTCTGCTGCCAAGGATTAGTTTTGAAAGTCTGACTCAGAAACCACCCCACCCCCATTTGCTTTTGTTGTTTTCATCCTCCCCACCCAAGAGGTGTTGGCAGCCTGTCACTGAGTTGGGCTGGCATCGTTGATTCCATTACACACACACACCCATATGCACGCTTCTGAATGAGAGTATAGACATACACCCAACTTTAAACTGAATTAAGGCAGTACAAAGTTTAAAATGGAGTTTGTTACAATATTTAAAAAAAATTTGAATAGCAGATTGTTCCAAAGCAATTCTTTAACATGCTACTAACAGATTAATCCAAAAGAAGTTAACACTGTTTCATTTATAAAATCCATCATAAGAATTGGTCTGCTAGCCAAAAACTCAAGAAGTAATAGTAAAATGTTTTTTTAAGTACATCAGAAGCAGAAAGCCGGCTAAACAACCAGTGGGGCCCTTGGACGATCGAGACGCTAAAGGATCCCTCAAAGATGATAGTCATAGCGGAGAAGCCAAATTAATTCTTTGCTTCAATCTTCATGGCTGAGGATATTGGGGAGATTCCCAAACCTGATCCATCCTTGGTAGGTGACAAATCTGAGGAATTGTCTCAGATAGAGGTGTCATTAGTGGAGGTTTTGGAACAAATTGATAAACTTAACAGTAACACATCACCGAGAATGTATGACATTCACCCAAGAGTTCTGAAAAAACTCAAATGGGAAATTGCAGAACTATTAACTGGGGTTTGTAATCTAGCCTTTAGATCAGCTTCTGTACCTAATGATTGGAAGATAGCTAACATGACGCCAATATTTAAAAAGGGCTCTAGAGGTGATCCTAGCAATTACAGACCGGTAAGTCTAATGTCAGTACCGGGCAAATTAGTTGAAACTATAGTTAAGAATAAAATTCTCAGACACATGGATGAATATAATTTGTTGGGGGAAAGTCAACATGGTTTCTGCCACTGCATACTGTGTGGACATCTTCAGAGAACTATCCACGATGACTCCAAGATCTCTTTCCTGATTAGTTGTAGCTAAATTAGCCCCCATCATATTATATGTATAGTTGGGGTTATTTTTTCCAATGTGCATGACTTTACATTTATCCACCTTAAATTTCATTTGCCATTTTGTTGCCCAGTCACTTAGTTGGGTGAGATCTTTTTGAAGTTCTTCGCAGTCTGCTTTGGTCTTAACTAACTTGAGCAGTTTAGTATTGTCTGCAGCTTTTGCTACCTCACTGTTTACCGCTTTCTCCAGATCATTTATGAATAAGTTGAATAAGATTGGTCCTAGGACTGACCCTTGGGGAACACCACTAGTTACCCTTCTCCATTCTGAAAATTTACCATTTATTCCTACCCTTTGCTTCCTGTCTTTTAACCAGTTCTCAGTCCATAAAAGGATCTTCCCTCTTATCCCATGACAATTTAATTTACGTAAGAGCCTTTGGTGAGGGACCTTGTCAAAGGCTTTCTGGAAATTTAAGTACACTATATCTACTGGATCCCCCCCTTGTCCACATGTTTGTTGACCCCTTCAAAGAACTCTAATAGATTAGTAAGACATGATTTCTCTTTACAGAAACCATATTGACTTTTGCCCAACAAATTATGTTGTTCTGTGTGTCTGACAATTTTATTCTTTACTATTGTTTCACCTCATTTGCCTGATACTGAAGTTAGACTTACCGGTCTGTAATTGCTGGGATCGCCTCTAGAGCCCTTTTTAAATATTGGCGTTACATTAGCTGTCTTCCAGTCATTGGGTACAGAAGTTAATTTAAAGGATAGGTTACAAACCAGAGTTAATAGTTCCGCAATTTCACATTTGAGTTCTTTCAGAACTCTTAGGTGAACGCCATCTGGTCCTGGTGACTTGTTACTGTTAATTTTATCAATTAATTCCAAAACCCCCTCTAATGACACTTCAATCTATGACAAGTCCTCAGATTTGTCACCTACAAAGGACGGGTCAGGTTTGGGAATCTCCCTAACATCCTCAGCTGTGAAGACTGAAGCAAAGAATTCATTTAGTTTCTCTGCAATGACTTTATCATCTTTAAATGCTCCTTTTGTATCTCAATTGTCCAGGGGCCCCACTGGTTGTTTAGCAGACTTCCTGTTTCTGATGTACTTAAACATTTTGTTATTACCTTTGGAGTTTTTGCCAAGCTGTTCTTCAAACTCCTTTTTGGCTTTTCTTATTACATTTTTACACTTAATTTGGCAGTGTTTTTGCTCCTTTCTATTTACCTCACTAGGATTTGACTTCCACTTTTTAAAAGATGTCTTTTTATCTCTCACAGCTTCTTTTACGTGGTTGTTAAGCCACGGTGGCTCTTTTTTAGTTCTTCTACTATGCTTTTTAATTTGGGGTATACATTTAAGTTGGGCCTCTATTATGGTGTCTTTGAAAAGCGCTCATGCATCTTGCAGGGATTTTACTTTAGTCACTGTACCTTTTAATTTCTGTTTAACATCCTCATTTTGCATAGTTCCCCTTTTTGAAATTAAATGCCACAGTGTTGGGCTGCTGAGGTGTTCTTCCCACCACAGGAATGTTAAATATTATTATATTATGATCAGTATTTCCAAGCGGTCCTGCGCACCAGTCTAGGACTAAATCGAGAATTGCCTCTCCCCTTGTGGGTTCCTGTACCAGCTGTTCCAAGAAGCAGTCGTTTACGGTATCGAGAAATTTTGTCTTTGCATCTTGTCCTAAGGTAACATGTAGCCAGTCAATATGGGGATAGTTGAAATCCCCCACTATTATTGAGTTCTTTATTTTGATAGCCTCTCTAATCTCCCTTAGCATTTCATAGTCACTATTACTGTGCTGTCAGGTGGTCAATAATAGATGCCTACCGTTAAATTCTTATTAGAGCAGGGAATTACTATCCATAGCGATTCTATAGAACATGTTGATTCATTTAAGATTTTTACTTCATTTGATTCTAAATTTTCTTTCACATATATTGCCACTCCCCCACCCGTACAACTTGTTCTGTCCTTCTGATATATTTTGTACCCCGGAATGATTGTGTCCCACTGATTGTCCTCACTCCACCAGGTTTCTGTGATGCTTATTATATCAGTTTCCTCCTTTAACACAAGGCACTCATCTTATTTTTTAGACTTCTAGCATTTGTGTACAAGCACTTTAAAAACTAGTCACTGTTTGTCTGCCCTTTTCTGATGTGTCAGATTCTTTTTTATGTGAATGTTTTTCATCTGATCTGGCCCAGGATTCTTATCCTCTTCCATCATCTCCTCCTGACTAAAACCTAGAGAATCTTTATCAATAGACTCTCCTCTAATAGTCATCTCTGTCTGATCCATATGCTCCTCTGCACCAATCAGCTTTCCCCCATCTCTTAGTTTAAAAACTGCTCTGTGACCTTTTTAATGTTAAGTGCCAGCAGTCTGGATCCACTTTGGTTTAGGTGGAGCCCATCCTTCCTGTATAGGCTCTCCCTACCCCAAAAATTTCCCCAGTTCCTTATAAAGTTAAACCCCTCCTCCCTACACCATCGTCTCGCCCACACATTGAGATTCTGAAGCTCTGCCTGCCTACTTGGCCCTGCGT